GATCCTCGGCGTTGTGAGCCCAAGAAGTTCGGAGGCTGGAAGGGAAACTTTGGGAAACATATTGTCGAACATCTCGATCGACATGTTCACGTGCTGGAGCAAATACGTGTGCATACCTTCCAGTAGGTTCGAAAAAAATGATGTCTTAGTCTGGATGCAATCTGATTACTACCAGTTTGCAGCGCGGTCGGGATGCAATCCCCTTGGCCCTTGGTTGGAGAAAAGAGCTGGTTTGAAAAGTCGGAGAGCAGCTTTGGCCAGCGCGAGGTCGCTCTGCCCGTGCTCGCTTCCAGAAGTCCTACCGATGATCCCGGACGGAATGCTGTATCCTTCTGCTCGATTCTTGCAAGGAAGAGTCTCATAGAAGTAGACGGAGGAACAAGGCTGAGGGAAGAAAAGTGCTTTGCTGAAACAGCTTTTGGAGGCATTGCATCGATAGAGAAGTTGCATCGTTGTTTGATTGTCAAAAATGGTGACAGTTGTTTGATATCGGTGACTATGTGTGTAGGGTTGAAGGCGCTTCTCATGCCTTCTCTTTGCCTGCCTTCCTATACTTTCCAGACATGGAATTTTCGCTGGCATTTAAAGCGGTCAGCAGAACCCTCAGCTGCCAGAGCACTCCTCCGCCATGGATGAAGGCGCCCCACCAGCACCTGCCCCGGGCAGCAAGCTAGAGAAGGTGCAGGTGCATCCTGGGGTTCTTCTTTGCTATGCACATCCGCTTGAAGACTCTATATTATAATATATATATATTTATAGTCTTCAATCGAAAGTTTGGAAGCCCTATACATGTAGCAATTTTTAGCAGTTTGCCTTCTGCAACTGTCGAAGTTTTGACTCCAACCATGTCCAAACCCTCTCGTTGACTCGTGTGCCTCATGTGCCCAGTGCTTCGGCCGCAAGAAGACTGCCGTTGCGGTCGCCTTGGTCCGCACTGGCAGCGGTCAGGCCGGCCAACGGCAGCTTTGGTTGAAGCAGAATGAACCACAATCAAGTTCTACGGACTATGGCACTATGGGTTTGACCAATGCAATGCTGAAATGTGGTTGTACAGGTGCGCCTGAACGGTTGCCCTTTGCACACCGTGAAACCCGACATTCTCCGGGTCAAGGCAAGGGATCAGGAGGAGGTCCAAACACTTTTGCTATTATTCACTTGTTGATTTTCAGGTCTACGAGCCTCTCCTCCTCCTGGGCAAGGACCGCTGCAGCAAGGTGGGTGAATTGTGCATTGAATGATTCTGTGAGACCTCTATCCTGCTGTCACCAACATGTTTCAGGTGGACATCCGCCTGCGAGTAAAAGGAGGAGGTTTCACTGGGCAGATCTATGCACTGCGACAGGCAATGTTGAGTCATGGAGTAGCAAGCTTTATCTTATCTCATTGTAAATGACACCAGTGTGTGTGTGAGAGATAGAGAGAGAGAGAGGGAACATGAGAATGACAATTCTTTTAATATGACTACAAGTTGGGATTGAGTGACCGGCTCCTGATGCTGGAACTTAGCACTCAAACGATTTTATAAGCAAAAGAGTTGTCTTAGCAGAGACCTTGGCAGGCCATCGCAAAGGGCATCGTGGCATACTACCAGAAGTACATCGATGAGGCATCCAAGAAGGAGATCAAGGACAGGCCTTTGAAGATGTTCAGTTCGTTCATTCTCTGCAGACTGCCTGAGCTGGGCTTTCTTTCGAGGACATCCTCATGGCCTATGATCGTTCATTGATTGTGGCTGATCCTCGGCGTTGTGAGCCCAAGAAGTTCGGAGGCTGGAAGGGAAACTTTGGG